ACCACCGATGCAACCAAATCCAGAGGCTCCCACAGCATATCAAAGTCTTCTTTTATATTGCCTGCTAATCAGTGCTATGTGGTTTAAACAGTTTGGTGAAGAACTGGATGAATCTAGCTAAAAACTGACTTTTAAACAGCAATTTGACAGCTAATTCATCAGTAGCAAAAAACAAAAACAAAAAACAAGCCAAATGACATCTGCTCACCGTGCGAATATGGCCGCAGATCATCATGCCTACATTCTTGGTGAAACTGTGGACCAGATCCAGAAGGGCAGGACGAGAGTTGGGATAACCAGTCATCACCAAACATTGGGGTCTGCAAAAAGACACATATGAGAGAAAACATCCACCAAGTCTGCATCTGCATCATCCTTTACCACATCTATAAAAGCAGAGAAGGGACGCCATATTTTGCCAAGTTTACAGAATTGTTTGATCTTATGCTTTATGTGTAGCCAACTTTTCATTTGACCTTCCCAGTAACCTTTAGTCTTCTTAACACACAAACACCCACACCCATATACAGTCAGACACCAGAAGCAGAGCAATGAACATCAAAGCAAATATGTTAGCATGATAGGATTATTGGACACAACACAGAGGCAAGAACAACTTCAGAGGAACAAAACAAATTCTTGAATTTTGAAGATTCATCCTTTTAAACTACTGCTTGGTTTTCTGCCATGAGAAATGTGCAGTAAATCCACAAAACAATTACTGAGCCAATTTGTTACATGTGCAAGCTTTAAGAGAATGAACACATGCACACAACATGAGGCCGCATATATAAATATACTCAAATTTCAATACATTTGAAAATTAATCATCTCCCCCTCCACAAAGTCTCTACTTTTTCCCCATATGATGGTAAATTATTTAAATTGTTTCATGAAACACTAAGGCTAAGTTATTATCATGTCTAATTTTGTTCTTCTCAGGCTGCAAAAATCCAGAGGTGAACGACTGGCTGAAGAACCACAAAGATTGTGTTGTGTGACACATGGTGCAACGTCAAAATCACTGCATGGCACTCGCAACGATGGGAGCATAAATCGAGCATAGCAGCTGAGCTAAACCTAGCACAACACGACGATAAACAATTGACAGAAGTTTAAAGAGACTTTGGGAATGAAGAAAACCCATCAACTAACATGACGTTGGGAAAAATAGATTAGAGGATAACATAACCAGATGTCCATAAGCATCCAACCGAGAGCTACCAAGCAATCGCTTTATATGTGGACCGCGCTTGAGTGTTTATCAAGCATGGTGAGTAATAATATTGTGCTTCCATAACTCAGATGCCATCTACACTTGCAGGCAAGAATGGTTCAGCTCAATCACGTTTGTGTTTGGTACCTGAAATTCTTGATGTGGTCCTCCACTCCACTAAGGTGCAGAGTGTGGGTCAGGGCCTGGTGGTAGGTCAAAGCCTGGGTTGATGAGCCCCAGTTCACATCTGGAATGGAGGACACATGCAGGCAGAAACACAGTGGAGTTAGCAAGTGTGTTTATGGGTCAGATTGCTGGACTAAAGGCTACCTGACCCATGTGGTGTTAACGTCAGTGAAAAGGCCTAGTGTATGTGTAGCTGCATGTCAAACTGAGTGTTCTCACAGGTGTGTTTAGAACTGTATATCCAGCTTTTAGTTTAAAGAGCTGCCCCACTCAGATTATGGATTCAAAACCAGAACCTTCTTGGCTGATATCCCAGAAAGTTGATTCTGTTCATCTGGATGTAGCATTTTCAGTTTGAGAAACAATTTGCCTTTCTTCTCTCCTGGATCACTTGGAGCATTCTTTAGGTACATTTAACATATATCAGCTGGGATAGTTACATTTGCTCAGGGCCTTTTTGATATTATGTTCTTCAGCTTCCCTCATGGCTGTGTCTGTAGGGATGGGGCTCAGTCTTTACTGTAGCATCTTACAATGCTGTGATTGCAGCCATTCCCCAACTTCCAACTCTTTGCATATCAATGATCACGAAACTGTCTCACTGTTAGTCAGTGCTGCTAATTTTCATCGTTGTGCAAATGTATAATAATAATTTATAGCCATTAGGGAAATCCGCAGTCAGTCAAGACCGAAGAACTCACTTGGATGAGTAGTGAAACGTTTCTCCCATTGAACACGCAACATCCAGATAAAAAGAATCAATTTTCTGGAATTTCCTTACCTGGATGATTGAGCACAAACCAAGATTCCTTGCTGAAAGGTAAAAACCACTAACCACTACACTACTTTCCACCTGATTTATGAACTTATATTATTTCTGTTTGCAAATTTCACACTAAAGGTAAACTAAAAACACCTCAACATTTTTGGAAAAAGCCAGAGATATGTACAAGTTCCATAAAAGAATGAGGTGTGCAGGGACTTTTAAATTAACCAATCAATTTAATGCAACATATTCCTTATGCAAATGAATTCAATACAATAAAATTGTATTTATACAGCACAAAATCAAAACAACATTTGCCTCAAGGTGCTTTATATTGTAAATTGAGACCTACATTAATACAAGAATACAAAAAATTACAAAATTCCTATAAGACGCCCTATCAGCAGACACTTGGCGAGAGTGGGAAAGAGAAATTCCTTTTTAAAAAGAAAAATCTTTAACAGAACATGGAGGAGAAACCATAGGCAGGTTAGGGCTAAACACCATACTGTGGATAGAACACTGCTTATTATCAAAATACTTCACAGCATGTTATCTTAAATCATGGTTAACGGTCATCTTACCTTCTCTCTAGTGTCTTGAGACAACTGTCGTTGTGAACTGGTGCTACATTAATAAAACTCAGTTTAACTAAATGACAACCAATATATTATTCTTATATCATATTGGTACTTGGTAATTATTTTACTCCATAAAAAAAGTGAGGAATTTTTGGCCAAATTTGGCGTGCTCTCCAACTCACCTGGCTTCTTGTGACTGACATAGATATACAGAGCCATAACAATGACATTTGTAAGAAGGGCAGCTGCCCAGTTGATGACAAACATCACCCCACAGCAGAGAATGGCTCCAGCAAGGGAAACCCACATGTTGTAGTATTTGAAGCTAGGTCTCCAGCCTGTAACATCGATGTAAATTAGTCACAAAATAGCAAAATACATTTAAAATGCCACACAAACAGTGCTAGTCACATATAAGGTGCAAACAAAAAGTTCCATAACTGCTCCAGCTGGGTATGAACATGGTCGTGTGCATGAAACATGACCTTTGGCAATGACAATGAAAGCTTATGTTATTCTTGTTGTGACTATTTGCATTGGTGCATTTGTAATTCATAACATGAGAGCAAAATAACCATTGTGTTGAATTCTACGAGCATTTACTTTAAAAGCAACTCAAGATTCTTCATCACTGGTAAGAAGAGTTGGGTCTAGTTATGTTAGACCCCAGAGCAGCCCTTAGTGGGTGGATCTGCAGTCAAAACCAAAGAAGGCTCATCAGGTCAAAAGCAATTCTGACATGGTGAAGGAGATCCAGATGGTACTGCTGAGCACTTCAAGTAAAGCAGTAGGACTGACTGCATCACTCACTGTATCAGGGTACAAGGTGACAAGGGCTTTTGCTTTTTATTGGAGCAGTGACAAAACTTTTTGATTTCATTTGATACAGTTTAGGTATTATGTGCAAAAATTAGAACTGAAAACTGAATTAAATTCAGTTAAGGCTGAGTAGAAATTCTTTTTCAGACACTTCAGCTGGGAACAAATTAAATAAGACCAGCAATGCAATGTGGGAGGTTAAAGAACAGGAAACGTTGAGTCAGCCTCCATTTAAAGAAGCTTATTATAAAACGGTCAATGTTGCTGTTAGAGAGGAGGGATAATGTTTCAGATGGATCTAGGCATATGTTTGGGTTAAAGAATGAGTTGACAGTCTACTAGAAGTTATACGAGACATTAGGGACCATATTCATTCATTGGACAGTACAGAAACTAGAATAGTGGGATTTTAGTGATGGAATACAGTTGGTGTGTGTTTGGTTACACAATGACAGAGTCTTTAAAAAACAGGACATAAAGGGTACATTGACAGTGTCGTTCCTGAGTCTATGAAGGGACTTTAGGAGTCCCAGAAATTAGAAAGTAATTGGCCCTGAACTGAAAGTAATGTTTGTGTTCCAAAGAGAGAAATCTATTACACCATCATACTGTTTCTGTACTCGCTAAATGAGTCATGTACCATTTAGGTCCATGTAATTTTATGACCTGCTGGAGGAATTGGAAAGAGAAAAATAATCTGTACCTGCAGTTCTGCTAAGGCTTTGGTTTGT